CGACACCTCCTCTTCTCCGCAGGAAGGGGCCAGTGAAGCTGTGGCAAGTGCACCTAGCTACTCGTGGCTGCTTCAATGCTTTGTGAGGCAGGCCTGATAAGAAGTGCCAAAACAGCTGCTGTCCTCCTCTTTTTTCCTTCAATAGCTTAAATTTCCTGTGAAATCTTGAAGGGGACACAAATTCTCCTCCTCCTCCCTTTATTCCTGAAAGTGAGCTTTTAGCTATTTTGGATTCACTCACAAAATTTGAACTTTAGATTGACAGAGTAGCACAGAGTAATCCAGACTGAAGGAAACAGCTGTGGCTCCTAGTATTATAGTGCCTGACTTATGACTCTAACCTTTCTCTTCCAAGGGGGTGGAAAGGTGAAAGGCCAACCTGCATGTGAAATGACCTTTGTCACTTGAGGTTCAAGAGAGCTTTATCTAGTAGGCTTTTCAACAGACAGAATAGCAGACACAATGTCATATTTGGGCCAGGGTGTACTGAAAACATTTCACGCTAACAATTAATAAAGGATATATCCGGACTCACCTTTTTTAAACTCCTCCAACATTGCATCCAGCTTGGTGTCATTGAACACAAAATGCAGCGGGTGGCTGTAAAACTTTGTGATGGTTTTTAGCGGGGTGCAATCATCCGGGTCCACAAAGGCCAGGTCCTTGACGAGGAGCAGATCCGCTATGTTCGACCTCTCGCCCTCGAACACCGGGATGCGCGTGTAGCCGCTCTTCATAATCTCGGACATGGTGTTAAAGTCGAGGGTCGCATCCCCGGGGATCATGAAGCAATCTCTCAGCGGAGTCATCACGTCTTCCACGGTCTTAGTCCTGAGCTCCAGCGCGCCCTGGATGATGTTCAGCTCCTCCTTCACCAGGTCGTTATAGGGGTCCGTGACGCGCAGCATCTCCAGAAGCTTCTCCCGGTTGTACACGGTTCCAATCTCCTGTCCGAGCAGGTAGTCCAGAAGCTTGCTCACCGGGTAGGAAGCAGGGAAGGTGAGCAGCATGAAGAACTTGGTGAGGAATATAGTGTTGGCACCGACAGCGAGGCCGTGTCTGGAGCAGATGGCCTGAGGCACGATTTCTCCAAAAATGACTATTCCAATGGTGGACATCACCACCGCAATCAGCCCCGAGCCGGCGATATCATCCAGCAGGATGGTCAGCGTGGTGTTCACCAACACATTCCCGAGCAGAAGCGAGCAGAGCAAGTAATTCCCCTGGCTCCTGACAGGCTCTATTTTTTTGGCGTAATTCTTCTCCCTTTCCGTGCCGCAGTTCTGGACTATCTGGAGCTCCATGGGGTCCAGAGCCATGAGCCCCAGGTTCAACCCGCTAAACATACCCGACAGGCAAAGCAACATGGAGATGAAGATAACCTGGAGCCAGAAAGGCAGCAGAAACTTTTTCTCCTCCACCACTATCACTTTGGTGTCATCCCCATCGTGGTAGATCCAGGTGTTCTCTGTCCACGGGTCGTGCATTAATACGCTTTACTCTTCTCCGTCTTTCGCAGAGGTTTGACCTCAATTTCAACTATTCCGGACGTCTTTCGATTCAGAATGATGTTGGGCAATATAATTATATCCGAAGTCCTAATACCACAGGGATGTAAGCCGGGCAAGTCCTCTTGGCTCTGGTTATCCCCCGAGGAGCTGTCAAGGTTCCCTACCGCTCGGCTCCGCTCATGTTCCGTGAAAGCGATTTTGGACCAGGTCTCGTTGTTGATGTTCTGCCCGTACACTCTTAATTTCACCCGAGACCGCTCGCTCACCCGCAGGTAGCCCTTATCCATGAAGGAAATGTCGTCCGTGTCCTCCAGTCGGAGCCCTATGATGACGGTCTCCTCGGACCCGTCCTTGCCACTTGTCGGGGTGACACAACAGCCAGTGACAGTTAAGAAAATCATCGCCAAAGCTCGGACCCGGTTAAGTGACGCCATTTTTGCAGCGGTGGGTGCTTGGGATAACGGCTCTGCCATATTGATAACCACTGGCAACCAACCTCCTGAATGAAAAGGGCTTTTAAAAATCAAAGCCAGTCGGAGTCCGCCTTCATCTTCGCCGACCGTCGCCGTGACTTGTGCATCGGACCTGCTCGTTCCCACTACGTGTCCGACAGTGACGACTTGCGAGCGCAGGCTTACGGGCCAACTCGTGCCTCCCCTGGTGTCTCCGAGACGGGCGACCGCGGCGACCAATCAGGAGGGGCCGCCGACCAGGAGGCGGGGCGTGCACAGCCTCCTTGACGAATCAAATTCCAAAACAAGTGCACCTCATGTCAAGAAACAGGAATTTACTCGTGACTTTTTTTTAAATCATATACTTTTCCTCAAGGGACCATGTACACAGTTAAAATGTATTTGTCAGAGGTTGAGCTATTCCGTGTGATGGCCACATTAACGTGTCCACTTGCACAAAATAATGCAATACAATATAACCGAAGTAAATAATACCATATATCCCCTTACAGTGGCTATGTCCTCTGCAGCTATGGTTCCCAAACATTTTGAGTTGCTGTGGTCCCTTAAAATGAAGCACTACCCTTAATACTTGTGATCCCTCCTCATAGGTTAGAGCCTTAATTTGGATCTGGGTGTTATGAGCAGTTCAACCAAAGATTTTTTTTTTGTTGTTGTTCTCAGATTGTTTTATTTGACGGATTTTGTGAGGCCTGATGAGGATTATTTAATATTCTATGAGCAAAAAGTTAGAATAACAGGCCATTAAATTGACTAACATTTATTTTTCTAAAACACATACAAATAACAATATTATTAGTACTGGAACACTGTTACAAAGCTCATGCTAATGCAAAGCCTATCAAAATATTATTTATACTGCTATAATGTAGGTATTACAAAAGATCTAGTGTCATTTGTTAAGGCAAAAGGTGGAACAGTCCTGGTGCCTAAGACTGTAGACAGGAAAAAATTAGCCTTGCAAGAGGAAGGCACAAAGGCATTTTGATGCTTAGGATTTTTTTTAATTTGAAGCACAGCCAAAGTCATTTTATTTATGCAAAATAAAATGATGTGAATAAATTAAGTGCATATAGCCTTCCTAGTGGGGAAGCGGGAAGTGTTTATAGAACACAAATAGGATACATATTTATAAGCAAGAATTACTTTCAGTTGCTGAAATCTCATTCTCATTGTTTATAAGAAATACATAATGACACTCCATGAGGCATAATTAAGTCACTGTACTTGAACTACTGTACTTATGCATACACAGGAAATACTGGGTCTGTGTTTCTCTGTGACCTTCCCACCATCACTTGCAGCAGGTAGCAGAGCGTGTGCTGCAGCATCCCCCTGTGGCTGAACCTGGACTTTGTTTCTCCAGCTGAAGGACCAGCTCGAAAGGATCCACAGTGGCTGCCTGTATCAACAGTTCAAGGAGGCAGAAGTCATTATGAGTTCACAACCTGTGTCCGGGCTCATTCAAGAGTTGCACAATAACTATGTGCCAAGATAATTAAGAAATAAAAGAAAGTTTAAAAAGTGTATTCATACTTTCTTATTTTCTAGGATTAAACATCAATTAATATGTTGAACATTTAATGTAAATGCAGAATGCAAGCTCATGTACACTGAGATTTTAAATGTATGTTCCTTCCTAATGTACAGCTCAGTGTCTTTTTATCAGACACTGGTTGTTCATTACATCAGCAATCCATCAGTAGCTGTACTTTCAAGTACAAGACCAAAAGCTTTTTATTGTTATTATCACCATCTAGCCAGGTGGAGTACAGGAAAAGTGTCAGAACATCAGTCCAAAGGTTAAACCAAGGAACAGATTTCGATAAATCACTGAGATTTTCTATTTAGTTATTGCTCCATGTAGCAAAATGAAAGTCCTTCAGTAGCAGAATGCAAGTGTCATGAGTGAATAAAGAATTAGGCTAGTCACTGAAAATAATATATGATCACAATCAGAATCAGAATTAGCTTTATTGGCCAGGTGTGTTGGACACACGAGGAATACGACTCCAAGGCGTCATCCTGTAGATGAGTGTGCACACAGAACAATAATGAGGGCCGATAATATGGCATTCATTTAGCTGAGAGGAGAACATTCGGTCATGTTTAATGTTGCCTAGCATGTGTGTGTGTGTGTGCAAGTAGTTGTAGCATGAGACCTGGTGCACACGAGTGACAGACTATGCACACTCTGGGCTCTCTAGGTGTGCCACACACTTTAAGTTATATTACAAACACACTGACCTCTAGTGATCAATGAAAAATCAGGCCAAAAATCTATCACTTATTTGTGACACAGACCCTAGGTTTGACTCCACAGGGCCCATGGGGGCCTCCACATGGCTGGAAAGTGAAGTCCTCAGCAAATCTGGAATGGTTCAGGATGCCTGCTACCTCTCCATCCACCTCCACCACTTCATCAACCTGTGAAATACACACACATTTGAGATAATTTAACATAAAGCACATGTGCAGAATACATTTACCAGCTTGAGTTGTTTTTCTGCTGTGGGATCTACAGACCTTGAATGTGTACTGACAGTCAAACTGGAAGCTGTCCTCTGCTCCAGTAATGTTCCCATTATATATGACCTGACAGGGCTTGTCATGGCCTTTAGGGACCTTAAACAGGCGGTACGTGGCAGACACAAACTTGAAGTCACCTGTATTTCCAGAACATGTTAGTCAAAATTTGTTAATGCACCAGAGTCAACCTGACAGTCTATAAGATCTTGTGTGCCAAACTTACTGAACCAACCCTTAGGCTGTGTTGCACCAGCACAGTCAGCATTTAGTTATAACCAAAGTTAAAGAGAAACCACTTTTATTGTATGCAATCTGATTTATAAACACAGCAGTGCTCTAGACATGAAACCTAACCCCAGTTTTATAAACCTAATTAATTTTTAAGTATGTGCGATTATGAAATTGTGTATTTCGCAGTAGCAGAAATCACAAGATGAAGCATGCTTTCAAATAACAGCATGGATGTATAAATGCATTTATATGTATAACACTGTCCTAAAACTTAAAACGTGAATGTCATAAAAATAAACAGAGTACTGATGGTTATGAAGTCTTCAGTATTAGAAACTAGCAGTGTTGCTCCAAACCCAGTTTGACTGAGGTTCATTGACATACAACTTGTATCATTTCCTGTTAAATACAAATTAGTTCAATTTCTTAGATGCTAACTGCTATAGTTGTCCACTATTAACATTGCTGCATTAGAGCATTAGCATCAAACTCTTCTAGGAAAACTTTTGGTAGGTATTAGGTGACTAGAAAATATTGCTGTCAAGTCAAAACTATGATGCATGGCTCAGTTTGTCCATGCAAGTCAAAAAGTTCAAGGTCCACGTGCTGTAATCCCTCCCCACAGGCGTTTTCACTTACTAAGGTAATTAGACATCTTCTAAAATCTGTGTGGGTGTGACATTGATGCACACTCCCAGAGGTTTTGCATAACATTCTCATAACGGTTTCATTTTTACTTTTAGAAAATTTATTTTGTCTTCAGGTTTTTTTTAAATTCAGTTTTCATTCATTTTGTTCTCACATTTTGAAATTATTATGCTTTGTCCACCTTTTTACATGTACAGTATTGTATTCTTGGCTCTATAGACGGGGGTGGGGGGGTGGTAGAAAGCACGCTAGTGCACTGTTATGTTTGCTTATCTTTTAGAGATTTTTAGCATTTTTAAACAGTAATCAGTTGAAAAAAGCCAATGATTACCTTCCTTTAGTAACAGACCGAGAAGTGCTGTTACCTCAACACTAATTAAGATGTAGGCTAATATCCAACATTGTGAACAGCCTACATACTGTAAAACACAGCATGTTATTCATATCACTGTTACACTTTTATGACACTTACAGTAGATAAACATAGATAATACTAAGCATTTGTAATGTAACAACATGATTAACTTGATCACAGTAATTTTTGAGCATACTGTACAACATTAGCTACTAGACTGCAGTTACCCTCAGTTCTATAGCTTTTTAGCATTGCTAGCTAACAATCACCTTAACTGCTGAGCTAGTGGCTGTCACCTGTGTGAAGGTCATGAGATTGGCCCCTTTTTATAAATGAAATGCAATATATAGAAAGCGGTTTGACTGTTTCTAATTCAGTTTACATAAGTTAAAAGAAAAAGCCATGGCCAATAAGCTCAGAGAAAGTTTAAAACGTTTTAAAAAACATTAGCCTTTACATAATTGTGAATCTATCAGCGGTTACAGTACAGACAACAGAGCAGCATCAGAGAGTTCGGGACCACAGCTCGCAGAGTCCAGTACAACCAGTGAAGTTTGACAGCTTAGGCAGTCAAGAGGAAGCTAGTCTGAGCGTGACTGTTGTAAATCTTAGGTTGCTCTGCCCTGGTTTCTTTTGAATATGCAAGGCTAAATAGCTTACATACCACAGTTCACTTTAGTTTTACCGAGCTTTTGGGTGTCTTTTCAATAAGGCTTTCAGGAATAATTAGGTAACCTTGGGTAAAAACATTCAACAGAAATTAAATGAGCACTGCACAAGCTCTCAGCCACTGAGGCCAGATGGCCCCCAGTCTCTTTTCATTGCCACAATTTTGTCAATCTCTGTTGGAAGGAATGTTTTCCCTGTGGGATGTTGACATTTTCCAGCCATCTTTCAAGCAATTTGAGCAGTTTACTGCACAACAAGTCCTTGTCATATTACTTTCCTTATAGATTCTTAGTCATTACACCTTGTTTTCTACTCCCATGACACGCACGTATCTCGTTGCCGACATTGCTTGGAAACCCGTCTATAGGATCAATTTCATCCAGTTAGAAATGTTATGTTTCTTACTTCAACCCATGCTAACTTACAGCTCAGAAAGAAGCAAATAAGGCAATACACACAAAGATGTAAATAACCACCAAAGAGAAATAGTATCAAACCCAGAACATCCTGCAGTTCTCTGTTGTCGACAGTAATGACACTGGCTGTGACCAGTCGTGGGGGCCTGAAGCCCACTTCCTCAGCCAATCGCAGCAGATCTTTCCACCAGAGGGCTCCACCAAGACACTCACCTGTCAAGACAAACCATATTCTGTAATTCTGACAGGGATGTGTGATCTTTTATGGCATTAGGATATTAATCTGACGCACCCCATAGCACTTTGTGATTCTTAATTTCCTCTGGCAATCTTCCACTGCTGTAGACATCACTGAAGTACAGCTCACCACCATCCTGGCAATCAATGGCATGACAGGATATGTGGTGAACATCAAATATACACTAGTTTTGCCTTCTGTCAATGCATGCTAGTCAAGTTTTGTGAAATTTGCTTAAAGGATAAGGCTGGTCATTTTCTATATTAATAGTATTTTCCACAATCCCAGAGGCTAAAACCAACAATGAACTGCCTCTACTCACAGTTAATGTCTTAAGTCTCCAACCTGGATTATCTTATTCATCTGTGCTGTAGACCTCCGTTGTTGGTTTAAAAAAAAAACCAAACAATTAAAACAGTGAAACACACCACTGCACTGGGTGACACGTTTCTTCATTATAAAACACCAGACACACATATTTGTTCAAAACATTGGCCCAAAAGCTCCAAAAGGGTCAAGACGAGTTGAGCCGATACCAGGCAGTGGAAAAGGGGCTTAACAGTGAGTAAAAGCAATTCATTATTGGTTTTAGTTTCTGTATGGGGGTTTATGAAAATACTATTCATATAGAAAATTACCAACTGTATTTTTAGACACTGAAGCCAAAGCGTACCTTCAGTAAGTTGTAGGCCTCAGCCAAGACTTGCTTCTTGTCTGGACTGAGATTCACCACACAGTTGGAACTAAGTGATGGCAGGAAATGAACATTTCAACACAGTTTCTATAGAATTGCAGAGTAATAAAATATGAAACAGAGAAAGGAAAGAGACAAGAAAGACATCTTACATGATAATATCAAATGAGCTCTTTTCCAGCCCCGCCTCTGTTAGGGCCTCAATGTAGCCCTGGACAAAGCTAATATTGGGCTTCTTGAAGCCAAACTCTTGCATATGGTAGTCCACATATGTCCTGGCGACTTCAAGCTAGGAGAGAAGACAGACTATAAAGTGTCTCCATATGATGCTCATTTGATTTCAATTGTGATTCAATCTGTCCGGACGCTACGTATTTGAACCTGAACTGGCCATGCTTACAGTCAATTACAAGCTATTTGAGCCCACACTGAGTCTTAAGCAGTACATACTGTACATCCTGTGAAGCAGAATTATGTCTTTCAAAACCTAGAATGGGAAAGTTAGTGCTTACAACCCAGTAACAGCCTTCATCAAGAGCACTCAGGGAGCACATGTACCTCCACCAAGGCACAACATTCGCTCATGCAAATAAATACGCAAAATAAATTTTAATGGCTGTCAGATTCGGAATCTGGATCAAAGCTGGATGAAATTTGGTTTGGTTATAGACATTGCAACCTTATGTATGTGAATCAAATTTCAAATAATTTTGATAACGTTTGGCAGATATATGATTTTTTTTTTAAATTTTACCAAGTTATAGACTAGGGATTTTTGTTATTTTTTGTGACCTTGACCTTTGACCTTCAGCCAAAGTCTAATTACTTCTAGGGCTGGTCGCCACCAGTGTCTGTACCAAGTATGCTGATGATGATCCATCCAGCCGTTTGTCCATAATCCTGCTAACCAACACAACACAACACACACACACAGAACCAAAAACATAATCTCCTTGGCAGAGGTAATAATGCTCCCACTTTAATGCTATGTAAGTCTATCACATATCATTCAACCACACACTGACATGCAATGCATCAAGAAGCTACTGCAGCCAATCTGTGCACCATACTGGGATGCTGATGTACATTACCTGGTCCTCAGTCATGTCAATGCCAGTGACATGGCCCTTCTCGCCTACCAGCTGACTCAGCATGTAGCAGTCCCTCCCACTTCCACTGCCCAGGTCAAGTATCCTGCAGCCCTCCAGGCACTCTGGCACCACCAGGCCACAGCCATAGTACCTAGAGTAGAGGGAAACACATCACATGTTTTTTTTTTTTTTGTAGCAAAAATACATCAGCAGATTGTCTAACAGCAACCTACTAACTTGGCTGTGACTTCAGGGTGCACTTTCTTCAGAGCCTGCTGGATGAAGGCAGGGATTGGATGAGCTGGAGCCACACAGGCATTGCTCTTCAGGTCTGAGGTTTTCTTCAGCACCTTGCCATAATAATCCTACGTGACCACAGACAAGCCAGCAAAAGTTGCTCCTTCATCATACAGCAGGCTGTCATCAGCTAGTACATAACAAATAGGTAAGCAGTGCAAAACTAATAGGCCGCTTCAAAGTTGTACTTAGTTCTGTGTAGGCTGGAGCATTACTGATGAATATCACTTAACTACAAAAGTATGACTTTAATAAGAAGTCGCAGTGATTTAGCTAATTAAAGCACCCGAGTTAGATTCAACAACCCACTCTAACATGTACAGTATCATAAGAGATACGCTGTATTACCTTCACGTCCACGTGAACGTTACAGTCAACGAAGCCTTTTGCGCACGCACTTAAACAAAAAAAGAAGTGGGATAGTTATATGTTAAACTTCATGGTACATGTACGGTACAGTGGCTACTGAGTCAGTTAGCTAACGTATCTGTCTCCTAACTGCTGCCTTTATCGGCTAGCTACAGCAAATGAAAACTCTTATTTCACAAGCTATACATTATTGTATTGCATGTAATATTATGTAAAGTCACTAATGTTATTGTTGCCGTCTTACGTTAACGTTATGGGTGAAGGTTCAAATACACGGTGGATATCAAGACTCGGGAGCAAACAAAGTTAACTGGTTAAGGTTAGCTTCACATTAAGGTAAGAGGACATGGGAAAACAGATTTCGCCTACCCCAGAATCTACTCTCGAGTCTTGGGTTCTAAACTAAACCGTGAAAATGAGATAATACACGCACGTTTTTAGGTTAATCATACCTCATTTCTTCAGCCAGTGCGTACAAAGTCCATAGTTGTTTTTTTTTTTTTTTTAGGTAAGATCTGTACGGCGGCCTGCAATGAACATAATTTAGTTCACTTCCTGCTCAACAGCGCACCCTGTAGCTCGTCGCCTAAAATCGCACCAAATACAGTCAGTAAAGTTCAAAAGACACACAAACCGCACTCAGTTATGGCAGCTTTGCAATGATAACAAACAAACAAAGACACAACACTCAGCTGGAATTTAAGAGTGTTTAATGACCATATATCTTTGTAGTTGTAATAAATGGCTTATGATCAGAACATCCAAAGAATATGTGCAAAACCACCTTACACACAGACAAACACACACACACACACACACACACACACAGAGGTGAAAAAAGTCTTTGGCATGATGCCCCTGATCTAAATAACAAATTAATAACTACAGTATTGTTAGTCAAATTTGCCCTTCACACAACTTCAGGATAATTCTCCACATAAGTTAATCTTTTCTCAGCAGAAACAAACAAACAAAAAAAAAATATAATGACAAAACGATGTCATAACAACAAAGCTAATGATTTTATAAACATTAAAGCTGTTAGGTTCACAAAACATGTTACTGAATATTTTGCTAAATTTGCAAATATAAAATGGCTTTGAAAATCGATACAGTTCAAATACATTTTAAATGATTCAGCTGATATGAAAAATAGCTCATTTGTACTACGTGTACCACAAATACACTTTCTAGTTTGTCAAAAAGCATTAACATTTCAAGAATTTTAGAGTGTGTTTAGGTTTGATGGGAAAATTTCACTCAACTCATTGTTAATACAGTGCTAGTACCTTTGGAAACTGCCAGACCAGTGGCTTAAATATTTGTGCTTTGCACAGCAATGTGTGCATTTTTGAAGGTGCTCAAGGAAGTCTGGTGGAAAAAAACTAAAAACAAAACAAAAAGCCAACAAGCATGCACCAAGGCATGGAGCATCACCAGTTCCAGTTCATTTCATTTCAGAGGCCGGGCAAAGAAAGAAATAGCTTAAAACAACCCCATTTGTAAAAGCAAATTCATTATATGAGTGGTATTTTACATAGCATATTCATGAATTGAACTGATACTGTAACTTTGATTATTTTAATGCATTTTCCGTAGCTTTAGTTTAATCTACAGTGCAACATTATACACATAACTCATACGGTGAACCGCATCCTGTGCCAAGAATTATTCGTCATAACAAAATACATACTTTTTGCTTCCCCTAAAAATCGCCTTTGTGCAAACTCTTGTTTATAGTAGATATTCAGATATTGGGAATAATCAAGCACAACTGTGAGTTAAATTATGACCATATCTAATTGTTTTCATTTCTTTATTTTTGTTTGGGGTTTTGTTTTTCTCTCTTCTCATTTCTCACTCCCCAAAGAGGTATTTTTCCACTCACTGGGCGCCAACGCTCAATGACATCTTGTTATAAAATTGTCCTGTTGGATTAAATACTTACATTACAAATAATGTGTACAAACTCTGACCATTTGCTTCACAGCTGTGGCCATTATGTGATTGATCTTCTTTATATAGAAAGGGAGGAATATCCCTTGTAAGATGAAAACCCAATGCACACGCCCTCCAAACATGAAACATTTCCTCTCTCAGATTGGATAATACAAATGCAGACCAGCAGGATCATGCTTTGGTAAACAAAATGTTTCCTTAATCAACACCAAAGCTGAACAATGGTAAGAACCATGTTTATACAAAATCTATTATAAACAGTATATGTTTTTTATGCTGTACAGCTGGTGAAGGTGTTAATCTACTGAAGTGACTGACATGAGCATGTAAAGTCTGAAGTTGCCCATTTCAGTTGTAATCTCTGTGCAGCTTAATCTTATCTTGGTGTGGGTACCTGCTTTCTGATAGTTTCTCAGTTTCACTGAATCTTATCATTGTTAATCACAATTCTGCATTTTTTGGGAAGGCACCTTCTACAAACCTGCATTAAATTAAGATTAAAAAGTGTATACAAATTGAATCTGTTACATTCCCTATTAACTCAGAGGTCTGTTTCTTACAGATGCTGCAACAAAACTGTAAGACACCAATGTACTGCAATTTAAGACTGGAATTATAAAAGCATTTTAAGTTTTGATTGTGTAGCTAAAAGCTTCATTTACAAAGATGAATTTTGTGCAAAATAAGAACTGCTCACATGGAGATTTGTTAATGCACTTACAGTATAGTCCTCTATCACTGGTGGGGCAGATAGAGAGCACAAACACAGACAAGGCAGAGCGGAAAAAGCACTTTAGAAGCACGAGTCTAATGGGACATCTTATACAGTCTTGTTCTGGTGTCCCTGTATGGCATCAGCTTGCAAAAACACACGCTGTCATTAATTCCACATTGCACTCATGCAAAAATGTTCCTGCTGTGTGTTTTTACAATGTAGGTTTTCTGCCTGCAAAGAATGGCTTTGCAGAACTGATGCGAGCACCCAGTGAGAAGAGCTGCGATCATCCTAGGCAGTGAACGGCCTGTTCTGACAGCACAGCTTCAGCTAACAAGTTTTTGAATGCGTCAGTAGCTTCCATTGTATGAGAAGGACATTAAAAAGATTGTGTGTGCAGTGTGAGAAATCTGTCACACGCTATTAACGGACTGGTACTGCCCACATATAACCCAAAATACACAGATTAAGGCCACTGTTCCAGCACGTGGAGGAGCAAACTTTCACAACCTGTGGATCACAATCATTTTTAGTCGAGATTCCACTTCCTGCACCCACACCAGTTTTATCTAAAATGCACACATTCATAAGAATACTTAGAAAACATTTAGAATAAAACACTTCCTGATATACAAAAGCCTCCATGTCCTGTCTCAAGTGCTCTCATTACCTCTATTGCAAAAGTGTGGTAATTGTGTTTCAGCCCTGCGGCTCAGTGCTGGTGCTGTGGTGCGGTCCTTCCTGCTCGGTGATGGTGTGGAGAAGGAGGCACACAGGAGGGTGGAGCAAGCCGCTGCCTATCTGCTGAGCTGGCTGAGGAGGTCCTGATGGCCCACAGGCTGCTTGACCTTCCAGCCCGCCCAGTGCCTGCTCCTCTTCCATGCTAAAGGAGGCTCGATGACCACAGCTTTCGCAGAAGTCAACCACCTCCTCCCCAGCCTCTCCCTCACACCCTAGCAGACTCTCTAGCTCCCTCAACCCTGTGCCTTCCTGACCTGTCCCTCCTGCTCCACTACAACCGCTACTTCCACGTGTGCCACACACACACACCTCAATCCCAGAGTCCCCTGTGAATCGCCTCCTCCTTCCATTGGGGAGTCGATCTTTGTCCTCAGTGCATCCGTCTGACAGATCTTTCAGCAGAGGATCTTTGCAGGAGTCGTCCTCAATTTGGCTTCTTTTCTCCTGGCTGGTGAGTCCCTCCCTACTGAGCCCATCTGAAAGCAGTATCATGCCTGAATCTTGTACTGTCTGCACAGGCTTGTTGTCAGGCTTTGGCCTAAAGTCTAAAGTGGGAGGTTGTGGCTCCTCTATACTGGGTCTACAACACACGCTATCAGAGACTGGGGGCACTGGAGTGGGCTGGATGGGTGAACAGTGTCCCTCCTGCTGCTCAGAGGCCAGCGGACTAGAGGCCACTGAAGATGGGCCTATGTGTAAGGCACTGTAGGGAGGAGGCGGGGTCGGTGGCCTGTTGACCACCTCTTCATAATCAGGCAGGAGGTAGTTTGGCAGAAACCCTGAGGAGAAAAAAAACAAAAAAAAAACGTAAAAACAAGTAGGACATGCCTGAATGTAAACATGCACTGAAATAAATTTATATAACAAAATACATTTTGCAAGGCAGTTAAATTATTTAAGAAAAACTAACTCATTTAAACACCAATGTCTGATCCCTACAACTTTTAGCGTGACCTCACTGAACTTCCTAGAACACTATTCAATTATTCCCAAAGCAAAGAGAGGAAAAAAGGACAAAACAAGCTAATTTCTGGGTCAATTCTGTGCTAAGGGCTGTTGCATCACTGTGTGAGATGGTGTCGCAACACTGGCAAGGTATCAAGAGAGCAGTGCTGGCCGATCCCCTAAAATCTGGGGGATGCAAACAGTAGAGATCGGCCGCTGTGTGAAACCAGGTAATGGATCTCAGGGCAAACATTACATTGCCACTGCTTTGCTTGTCACTAGTGCCTCTGTTTAATGTAAGTGCAAAAATGAGAACATGAGAAGTTATGCCTGGGGGAAAAGATCTTAGTTCGTGCTCAAGTTTTTTCCCCCCCAAAAAAAAGCATCAAAGAAAGCTACTGGACAGCTCGATGTTGTACCCTCTACACCAGACCTTACTTAGATGTAAGACATACACTACAGCTGCAGTAGGGTTTATAACGGGGTCAGGTTACAAAGCCTCAAACAGTGAAGCAAACAGCCAGCTCTGCCAAGCTAAAATGTTTGTAGAAAAGGTGACCTCCCTCGAACAAAAAAAAAAAAAAAAACAGATTTAGAATTTAAAAAAGGCTGAAGTATTAGATTCACCAATAAACTGCACAGCTTTGCTTGTATTCACTAATACTGGGTACTTAAGATGCGACTGTACTATGCAGAACTTGGCTCGGTACTAGAGGATCTATTTACAGCAGCAATAATAGGTTTTTTCCTTTTGGCTGTTTGCTAAAATGTACTGTAAATATCACCTAACATAGTACCATTGAGTTAGTAAGGTACCTCTGGCTTTCATTTGGAGTTGGATTATTGTCTACTTGGCAAACATACAAATGCAGTATTCACTGTTCATAAAGCACAGTTTTGGTCTCCATCTACTCATGAGCGAAACGTGGCTCTTTAGCATCTAAACACTCCACTGTGTTCATCAGCTTATTGCTAACTTCTTTCTGTCTCCTTGTTTGGTGGTGGCCCAGTAGAACAAAGTGGGTTTGTCAGATCTTTTGGTTTGGTGTAGGTCAAAACAAAGCAGATGAGAAGGACACAGAATGACACTGACCCACAGAATGTACAGTATATAAAGATGGGACGACATGTCACCACTTCCCTCCACTATGCAAAGGTAAAGCCAAAATATCATGAACACAGCAGCTGCCATATTGACATTTTGCAACCAGATTGTGCACAGCAGCATTGAGAAGTGGTGTGACAGCATCAGGCTGCTGATGAAAGTTATCCAATCATCTAAAATACAAAATGCAACAAAATGCTTTGTAGAGCTGAGAAGAACTGTAGAGTCAGGTGATCTCTGTGTGTTTGTCACTATAGCCAATATTTTTCACATTACACCGTCATCTGATCTATTGATTATAAAAGCTTTAAGTACTCTCATCATCTGTGAATAGTCTTGCACACTACAAGAAAATGATCAACATCACATATTGTGTGTGTGTTTATGAACCAGTGGTAGGTCTTACTGAAGTAGAAGGGCACAGATGAGTAGTTGTGTGCTTCACGGTAAGCGATAAGGTTGATCTCGTGCTGCCGTTGTTGCTGCTGCAGCCGGTGTTTCGTGCGGCGATGGTGGCACACACAGCAGCAGCTCAAAATTAAGATGATGGTCCACACCAACCAAAACCCTAAAGACCCAGCAAAGGCATGTTGTATTTACAGTGGAACTCCCAACAAAATCGATCAAATATGTTTGACTGATATTTTGAAATAAACTCACATGGAGATGAATACATTTACACAGGAAAAATTCAACAATACCCATAATGTTGAACTATACTAGCATGTGGTGATGTAACACAGAGCGCCTGCTGCTAAGATCACACACTGCCAATATCTGGTTCTAACACAGTGAAACATTCACACATCTGTACATTGTATGAATTAAGTTTTTATGACATAAATTCTATGCCATTTATATTCAATCATCAGCCCCTTATCTCTATGACCAAGACAGATCAAGTCTTTCCCAATTGCTTCACTATAGAGCAAGCCCACATCTGACACCACAGCTGTATCACTGAATGCTGAACTCTTAAGTTCTCCAGTCTCTCATTTTAGGAGACATTTGTTCATATTTGGAGAAGTTGGCTGGGTTGTTTTAATCCAGTTTATCAGAAAAATATGAGGAGTCATTCATTGTGAAATGGAGAAATTTTGGAGAAGAGCACAAATAAATTACACAGAGAAAAGTCATTAGTAGATAGAGTTGTTGTTTGAGAAAACATCCCACCACAGCATGATTGTTTAAGAACGTATTAAGCTTTTTCCATATGACGTGAAGTCTTAATTCCCTTTAACGGAATAATTTGTGAAACAGCACTATCTTGAATCCACTCTAAAGAGCAGCAAGGAAAAACAGAGAGGTTTCAAAAACAGCCAAGTTTGTGTTTACTGTATGTTAGAAGTAAACGGAACACCAATACACTGACACAAAAAATGTGGGGAACTTTATTTCAAGGACTTCAGGGCAGGGCAGCTTGTGACTCTGGAAAACAAGAATGTAAACTATAAAATATGGCACTCGGAGCAGAGCAACTGTGCTAGTGCTGCACAGGAATCAAGATACAACAATTCTACTGTGGTCTCAGAAAATATCCGTTCTGTCCTCCATGCCCTACTACCAACTTCTTTCATACTATAAGCTGAGTTATATCTAATCCAGAAGTGACGGCAGCAGGATCATCTTCTTCATCAGTTCATATGTTATAATATGAATACATCCAAAGTCAGTTTGAACATTGCCAGTTTCTAGGAACCCACACCAACAACTGTGACCTTTCTAGCGTGTAGGACTGGGAAAGGTCCAAATTACAGACATCTTTTATCAACTCAAAAGGTACACACATTGTGATCACTAATCATAATACAGATTTTACATCATACTGTCCAGTCCTGCCACCACCACAGAAAATTCTGGCCTATTATATAAAGCTGTCCTGGCTGGAAGGATTTATAAAACACCGGGAAACCCAGACCAATTTTAAAGGTGCTGCTGCTGAGGTAAGAAAGCTATATTCTAGACCATTTTTATAATGGTCTCTTTTGACCCGCGAACACACTCCTTCCATGTTTGCAGCTCTGAAGTCAACAATAATCACCTCTGCTCTGACCCAGACATACTGTACTCAGGCAAACAGCACCATATTATTAAAGTATTCTTAACATACAGCATGTACACAATTATTAGGCAAGTTGTATTTTTGAGGATTAATTTTGTTATTGCACAACTACAGTGCTCTTGGTCAATCCAAAATGTTAACAAACCCTCAAACCTGAACATTTAAGTAGTAAAAGTGAAGTTTTGGCTTTCTTAAGAGAATATCTACATGTACACCATTATTAGGCAACTATTAGTGTGCAGAATTATCATGCAACTAAATAAAAAACAAATATTTTCCCATCTCACATTTATTTTCACCTGTTAAAGTGAGAATAATAAACAAACTCATAATTTACAAATAAACAGTTCTGAAATTCCAAACAGAAAACCTCAGTGACCAATATAGCCACCCTTCTTTTCGATAACAGTCACAAGCCTTCCATTCACAGAGTCAGTCAGTTTTTTGATCTGGTCAGAATCAACTTTTTGTGCAGCCGCAACCACAGCCTCCCAGAGACTGTTCAGAGAGGTGTACTGTTTACCTTCACTGTAAATTTCCTGCTTAAGAAGGGCCCAAAGGTTCTCAATAGGATTTAAGTCAGGTGAAGAAGGGGGCCATGTCATTAGTTTTTCATCTTTAAGGCCTTTACTGGCCAGCCACGCAGTG